CCATAGCCTTGCAGATTCGTGCATTCACCTCATCTGTCACACTACAATCAGAACTAACGCAACTTCCAAGGTACGTAAAAATGTCCAGGAAAACAAACCCATCTACCACGTCAATTGGCTCATCTGCAAGTATTCGTTTTGGGTGTGGTCCCACCCAGTCTTGTAGCACCACCTTACATTTTGCAGGTGCGAAGTGCATATCAAATTGTGTGGTACAGTTATTTAGATTATTTAAAATGCTTTGAGTTTTTGAAGGATCTGAACCAAGAAGAAAAATATCGTGTGCATACCCCGTGTCTGTGGAGAGAAATTCGACCCTGAGGTTTCAGAGACAGATAGAGCAACTTCAAGCTGCGCGTCATTAACAAGGTTGAAGGGAAAGTTGAGAGAGAACAACTTTATCTTACACCACCGGACGTGGTGAACTGAAACGAAAACTGGCCGCATACTCGTTTACTCGTACGCGCCCACAGGGGTTCGCATACAGACCCCCATAAGGGACCCCTTTGATCACCAGACACTTCCAAAGTTCTTGACAACCGGCGATCGAGAACAGCTTTCAGACGAAGGAAACAACCAACGTGGAAAGTGAATGAATGGCGCTGGTCATGAACTTGTCTTAACATGAAAGTGTGTTTGATTCACCCTTGGTCGGGGTATACCCAGCTTGATTCTCACGCATCTGTCTCCCTCGACAATCGACCAGTTTGCACAAAATAATGCCAAAGAGCACCTTGTATACGACGGATACAAGGTTAATGTCACGACATTTTTAGGCTTCTTTTGAAAACTGGTATGACGGTCGGTGGGCTCTATTCCATTGGTTTCTTTTTCCGTTCCTAATTTTCCGTAGTACTGTCGTCAAACTGTTCTTTGGGGCTTTACCGCATCCTTGTCAACCAAACGTTTCGATACACCTTGCAGCCTATGTTCCTACTCTGCCTTCACCCAATTGGGCTATAGGCATCTCTTTCTAAAATCGGGTTTTTCCTTTCTGTCCGTGTAATGTCTCCGAAACGCACATACAAGACTCGGTTGTGGACCTCAAGTCTCTTAGGACGAGCTCAAATGTCCCCCATTTCGTTCTCAGGGTATCCGGTGGTTCATAGTATGGTTCATAGTATCTACTGTGTGGGAATTGCATTCAGCTTCAAAGCTGAAAGCGTTTTACTGGAATGGATCTCAACAAATTGTTGCCTTTGCGATGTGCAGTGGTCTGGGTCCATTAAGGTCAATGCAAGTTGATGCGGGAAACGGTGTTTATATGTCGGATCAGCATACGCTCCTATAGATAGCATTTCTGAAGCTGAGAAAGACGGGTTTAATCGATACTTGTTGCTACTGCTTCGGTCAGCAAGAGAAGTGGGTGTTTTCATCCTAGCGAGTGCTTGCCAAGTTAGACGACTAAGCTCGGAAGAAGCACAGTACGGTGGTATGCTGGGAGTCTGTGTTCATCGTACGGATAATGGGGAGCAGCTGCTTCAGTTGTGCTGATCTTTTTTCTGTTCCTGGCGAGTACGAACCTCAAGCACAAGCGCTCACTTGGAGACCGCCAACCGCAGAGCGTTCATGGACTCAGTTGTGCCAAGTGACCATCAGTTACCGATGGAGAGCCGCAATAGAAGAATTCCGTCCCTTCTGTGGTACGCAAATCGACCCTGGTCATGCCGTTGTACAGGTCCGCTTATCACTCCGCTTTCATCACGCGTTCGAAGCAGAGCAACTCCGTTCATCAACTTTGGCAAGTTGCATTGGCTCAGGAGTATCGAGCTGATTTTGGAAAAAAGCTACTGGAAGCTCACATTCATGCTGATGACGATGATTGTTTGAGGTCATTGTTTCCTGTCACGGTCCCCCAAGAAAACCCTACCTGCTGTTTCGTAACCCGCTTTCTAGCTAGACAATAGGCGTGGCGCACAAACACAGCAGTTTCCGCCCATTACATTGTTTCAATCTTTTTGGTTAGATCTCCCTTTTTGGGCAACCGGAGAGTGCCGTAGGTTCTTACAGCGATTTTTCTCCCCTCCTTACACCACACCTAATCGCTGCTGGATAAGATCACATCATCGTTCATGCATTTCTGGTAGCTAAGCTTTTATAAAGACTCTAATGTGGCAGTCCATCGCTTACAAGGGACTACTGTAGGTCGTCAAAAAAAGTGCTATAAGTTAATGGACGTGGTGTTAGCCACAATTTACAACATTCAAAACGGGCGGTATCAACCTCGTTGAAAACCCTCTGTTCGTCTAATACACTGGATTTCCCAATGGTCTATGTCTTCAACGAGCGTCAGAAAATCCGTGCTCGCAAGTGTAGGATCGATATATGCGCGAACATGCTTACTGAAAGGTCCGTATTTCAAATCCGATCCCGGCACCTCGATTGCTCCTGTCCGACCTTGGGCGGTCTGACGGTATCTCAGCCCTCATACTTCCTGCAAGTGGCATGGTATCTAGGCACCAAAAGTGTGTTACTATTGAACGGTTTTTCCTGTCGAGCTCCTTTGAAATGCAAACTTGTAATGCCCTAAATAATTCCGCTGCTGTGATTGGCATGAACTTCACGCCCGAAAGGTATAAGATGTAGAAACAAGACCGGAAGTGGTCCAACACAAACCTTCCGCTTGCAGATGGACTAATCAGATAGTAGACAGGGTCATCCATCCGGATATCTGCGTGAATCTTGGCACATGGGCGAAGTG